TCTATGGGATACAGTGATTAGTATTCACTTACAATATTAATGGAAACCTGACACTTCCAGAGGTTCCTCAGCTACGCGCAAGTAGTCCTCAACTTACCACAATTGATCCACAAATTTATCTTTTAAATACAACATTTGTTTAGTGACTTTTGCCCCATTTTACGACCTTTCTTCCCACAGTTGTTAAGCAGATCACTGCAGTTGTTAAGATAGTAATACAGTTGTTAAGAGAATGTGGCTTCCCCATTGTTTTTGCTTGCCAGAAGGACTCAAAAGTTGATCACATGACCCCGGGACACTGCTACAGTCATAAACATGAGTCAGTTGCCAAGCATCTGAATATCGATCATGTGACTAAGGGGCTACTGCAACGGACGTAAGTGTGAAACAAGATCATAAGTCCCTTTTTACAGTGCCGTTGTAACTTTGAACAGTCACTAAGTGAACTGTCGTAAGTGGAGGATTACCTGTACTTTCTGAACATCAACCAGTGTATTGTCTAGTAAGAAGGAGAATTTTGTTCAGCAACATCAGGAAGATCTGTCCTTGGAACATCATGATTGGAGGCACAGAAAGCACTGTAGATCTGCTATGGGGGCAGAAAGTTTGCATTCTTCCAGAAGAAGGAATATTACAGAAGAATACCCAAGTTACACTGGCTAAGAGGCAATAATTTCTTGCAACTCATGCTAGATTGTTGCACACACTAGCAAAATACCGTATATAAGATACACAAATGGGACAGCTAAAATGGCAAGGAAAGTGTATGTCCTATCCAGACGTGAACAATTTCCATGCCAGTGATTTCCATTAAACTGTAAATAAAAATGATCATGTGAATGGCAACATAGCATACCTTGCTTTGTTATTCTCCTCTCAGTAACCTTGTTAATTGGTACTACATTTTCCATTGAAAAAGATGTGTTGCTTCACGTTTAGTAAGAATAAGAATATAAGGTATTTAGGGCTTGGATTCAAAGGCTTGATGTTTGCCCTCTCCCCCATCTGCACTCATGCAATTGCATTGTGGGCAATCAGCAACCAGATCACATTCAGAGCTTTTTGCAGCATCCCACAATCACGTGACTACAGCTTACAATGTTTTGCTGGCGTTGACTACCAATATCTGGTAAAAAATGCCCATTCTGAAAAATGGGTACACTTAACGACTGCAGCTTTCATTTAATGACCGCTGCAAACACCGTTGTAGAATAGGTTTGGTCACATGATGTCTTACTTAATCACCAGTAAGACTTACCGTCTTAATTCCAGACTGGTATTAGGTGCCAAATGCTATTACTCTTTTTTTAAAGATATGAAAGATTATCAGTATTATCCTCTGTGCATCTCCATCTACAAAACCGCATTTGCATACAGCTCTGCAATTCAACCCCTCTAACCGATTTTCTCTGGAGAGGTGAGCGCAACTCCCAGACTGGCCATTTCTCTCCATGTAAATGGTGGCCTGACAGCGACTGCAATCTGACCGCTTACAGAGAGGCACCAATTTCATCTGGCACAGGCAAACACATGTCAACTTCCCAACCAAAAGTACAAGTAGTGCTCGACTTACAACCACAATGGAGCCTAAAATTTCTGTTGTCAAGAGAGACATTTGTTAATGGAATTTTGCCCCATTTTATGACCTTTCTTGCCACAGTTATTAAGTGAATCACTCCAGTTCATAAGCGAGTAACCTGGTTGTTAAGTGAATCTGGCTTCCCCATTGACTTTGCTTGTCAGAAGGTCACAAAAGGAGGTGACATGACCTTGGGACACAGGAACGGTCATAAGTATGAACCAGTTGCCAAGCATCTGAATTTTGATCACAGAATCATGGGGATGCTGCAAAGGGGGTAACTGTGAAAAACGAACATATGTCACTTTTTTCAGTGACGTTGTAACTTCGAATGGTCACTAAATGAACAGTGGTAAGTTGAGGACTTCCTGTAATTTGGAGGGCTATTTCTTCTATAGACAAGGAGCACTGATGATGTCTTGCAATATACATCTTAAAATAAATAACCAACCTGGAAACATTTTTGGAATACGAGTTTACTTACAGAAGAAAGATTCTATATTTACCATTTAATAATAGGCTGGAAGATAAAACCCCAAAAAGATATTTATCAGAGGCCATAAAAGTCACTTAGAAGCTGAATTTAACAGAATGACAGAGTTGGAAGGGACCTTGGAGATCTTTTAGTCCAACCTCCTAGAATTCCAGAAGTGAAGAAGGGGTTTCCAAGTTGAAAAAAAAGTACTCATGTGTTGTTGTTGTTTTCATCAAAGGAGTCAATTTAGCCATCTCTGCTACCTCCATCAACTTTTGCAACCATTCCTCCATTGTGGAGATCGAAATGTCCTTCCCTTTTTGTACATAAAGTAGTCTGGCTACCATCAACGTATATAACATTGAAGTTCCATCATTGTTTCCAAGTCTTTTTTCCATTAAGCCAAAAAGAACAGTTTCTGCTTTTACCTTTATATTCACTTTCAGAATTTTCTGTATTAGAATAGAAATCCTACTCCAATATTTCTTTACTTTATCACATGTCCACCGTAAATGATAAAAGCTCCCTTGGGCCAGGATGTTTTTCAGGGGGCTGTGAATGTAGACACGAGTTGCCTCTGGTGTGATGCGTATTTTGGTCGTTGATGATGCCGACAATATTGCAATGATTAATGTTAATTATTATTTACTGCCAAAAGTCATATTGCAAATGGGTACCTATATATATTGAAATAGAAAAAGCTTTATTGATTATCTAGAGATAACTCCCAACTTTTCAGCATTTTCCAAGTTCCCCACATCCAAATGCCACTCAAGCACTGCTCTAGGCCGCTGACCACAGTAACCGAGCTACACAAATATTGTATAGTAAGGATGGGTTGTCAAAATGAAATACAATAACAGAAGAACGAATCCTCCTTTATCAGAAGTCCTAGGAGGCAAAGAATGCATAAATGCAGAAGAAAAGTTTGATTTTTAAGAGACACCAGAGCTGTTATTTCAATCAGTGCATTCCCCAATGTTATTGCCATGTGATAACAACAACAAGGGCCAGAATGCAATAGGTCTGTCACTAACAACTATGGAAAACCCGCTACTTGCCATTTCCACGATTCTTCTCATAAAGTCTAGTCATTTGCTAAATCCACTAAATACGATGACTGAGCAGCTACTGTTTTACCATAATATCCTACAAAACAGAGAAAGGCATGATAAAAAAGAGAATCTAAGATGTCATGTTGAGATAAATTAAGGAAGTGCGAATGGCTATAGCTCTTTCCCACCTTTACAAAGCCGTTGTTTTAGTAGAGTGTATTGAGAGGAAACGAAGAACCCTGCAAAATTATACTGGGTTATCCAGTTGGTTACATGGAGGTTAAGTGAATCTGGCTTCTGCATTGATTTTGCTTTTCAAACTGTTGCAAAAGGTGAACACGTCACCTTAGGACACAGCAAGAGTCATAAGTATGAACATAAGTATGTCAAGGATCTAACGTTTGATCACGTCACACTATAAGTGTGAAAAATGATCATAAGTCACTTTTTTGCTGTTGTCATAACTTTAAACGGTCACTAAGTGAACGGTAGGAGGTTGAGGACTACCTGTACTAGTCTAGCTCAATCTTGACATAAGGTTAAATAATAAATGTAAAGGTTTGGCCTGACAGCTGAAGAAAATGTAAAGACCAGCCACTACATTCTGCCAGCGAAGCAGAAAAGAAAGGGAACTAACAGGATGAGGAACAATTCTGGGCCAGGACAATTTAAACAACAATTAGCATTAGGTCTCAGAAACAGCAAACAGGTGTTGAAACACACACAAACTGAGGATCCCACGTCACACTGTACATCACATCATGCCCCACTGTAAACTGAGGGCATATACAGTTTCTCATTTTAAAATATACATGATGCTTCGCTTCAAGGGTTAGAGGGCCTAGACCAGGGGGAGGAAACCTTGGCTCTTTTTTGACTCGTGGACTCCAACTGCCAGAATTCCTGAGCCAGCCATGCTGAGGAGAAATGGAGAGGTTTCCAATCTGAGCCATGCTGGCTCAGGAATTCTGGGAGTTGAAATCCACGAGTCATAAAAGAGCCAAGGTTGCCTACCCATGGCCTAGACATTGGTTGATAACATAGATATTTCTCAAATTTATATTATATTGTTTTATTAGTCTAGATGAAATGTTAATATATATTGCAAATCCAGGTATGATATGCCACATACTAAACAAATAAACACACACAAACAGAGAGAGAGGGAGAAAGAGAGAGAGAGAGAGAGAGAGACAGAGAGAGACAGAGAGAGAGAGAGAGAGACAGAGAGAGGGAAATTGGAACAGAGATTTAAAGATTTGCTCCCAAATGGGAAATATCCAGTGTAACCATTCCTTCCTGTTGCCTTGCCTTGTTTTGCGCTGGTATTTATCACCACCAGCATCCTATTTATAGTTATTTATGGAATTTTGTATTTGCCCACAATTGTCTTCACTGCAAAAAAGTGTGGAAACAATTGACAATATTACCTGTCTCAGCCCGAGGGGTGACTAAAACAGCACAAACCGCAGGGACTAAAGACCTTCCTCAGCTCAGGACGGAGTTTTAGGCCCTGTGTTGGGAAAGGAGGAGGCCATTTCTGTTGTCCAGAAATTCAGTGAGTGGTGATTGGATCTTGGATTCATCAATCAAAGGACAGTAACACTGAGTTCCTCCACTTAGTTTATATTCATGTTTATGTTTATACATTTACAATCTTTCTTGCCACAGCTGTTAAGTGAATCAAGTTGTTAAGTTAGTAACAGGGTTGTTAAGTGAATCTGGCTTCTGTAAGGATTTTGATTTTCAAACTGTTGCAAAAGGCGATCGCATGACCTTCGGACATAGCAACAGTCATAAGTATGAACAAATGACAAAATTAGTGGACCAGAGGAATGCTGTGGATATAATTTACTATTACTATTATCAAATTGGAAAACATTTGAATTTTGATCACATGATCCTGGGACTACTAATAAGGTCGTAAGTGTGAAAAACCGTCATAAATCACTTTTTTCAGGGCTGTAACTTTCAACGGTCACTAAATGATCTGTTGTAAATTGAAGACTACCTGCAATATGTGTACTTGATCCTGCTTCCAATAGTTTTCCTCTACCTTCCATTGAAATTTCTCTAATCACTTCACAACTCTGAAGTCTATGCTTCAGAAAGACAGTCATGACGTTAACTACGTTTGTTCCTGTTTGGGGCATCATATCAAAGTTAGATATATTTATAAACTCAAAGAGGATACAAGGACAGCATTTAAAATATGAAAATAAATTGGAATCCTCCCATTGGAGGAAGAAAAAAAAAACTGTGTGAAACAATAGATGTTTCGGAAGTAAACCTGCAAACATGAAAAAAAATAAAAATTTGTTCTGTTTCCGTGAAGCATGTGGTTTAATATTTCACTATAACTGAAGTACAAGTTGTGAAGCTGGGTACTTTGAACCTGGGCTTTATTTTTTGTTTTTGTTTCTAGTTTATAATATTTGGAAATTGAAAAAAGAATATATTTGCTACTAGCAAGCTCATTCCTGAAGAAAGAAGAAACGTCGCCATTTATTAGGGCAGCGAATGCTTCAAAATTTATTTAGAAGAGATTTAAGAACAGAGTCTCTCTCCTGGTCATTAAAAATCTCTAACTTTTTTCTCTTCGAGCCTGAAGTCACATTACCAGTAATGGTTGTCCTCAACGTAAGACTGAAATTGAGCCCTGAATTACAGTGGTAAGTTGCTGCAGTCACAAGTCGAGGCATCATGTGACTGGACCCAAATTTTCAACATTTTTAGAGTAGTTGTTAAGCAAATGCTGTAGTCGTTAAGCGAATGCTGAAGTCATTAAGTGTTCGCTGGGGCGCTGCAAACAGTTCTAAAGGTAATCAGTTGCCAAGAATCCAAAATGGGATCATGTGATCATGGAGGTGGGGATATGCGGACACCATAATGATTAAAATAAGTCATAAGTAGTTCTGGGTCAGTTCTTCATAATTTCAAATGGTCATTAGGCAAGCAGTCATAAATCGAGGACTACCTATAACGATTAAATAATAGTATTTTATTAGGGAAAACCCTCAGAGCTGTTAGATCTGTAAGGGGAGAGGAGGGGCTGCCCTGGGCCTTCCTGAGCCAGGGCATGGGAGGAGGTGATGCACGTCTGGCCAGCCTTATTGGAGCCATGTCCCAGTCAAGCGGGGCATCCACTGGCACACGTCCAGCTTGGGAGGAGCTGAAAGGGGAGCGCGAGCCCTGCACATGATCAGAGCCTCCGCAGCCCCGAGGGGAGAGTGCACTATGTCCCCTCCCCTCCCTGGAGACCCTGTGTGAGGAGCCCTTCCTTGGGCAGGGGGTTGGTCTAAAAGCCACACCCTAGGATTGTATGATTCCTTCTGTGCTTTGTGCCACAATGATGGTGCTTCTCTGTTGTTCCTGTTCCCACATGAAAGGAAGAGGCCAAAGGCCACCAAAGGAGTCAGCCACCGGGCCGCCCAGACACTGCTAAACCCAGGTGAGCTGCCCTCCTTGGGTAGGTTTAGAATGTGGCCCTTGTTTACCTAGTTGCCGAGGCAACGAGGTTGTCAGTTTCCCTGAAAAGCCACCAACCAGGGCCCAACTGCCCATTCTCCCTTCGTGCAGTGAAAGGACAAACAGCTGCTTGGGGTCATGGCTGTACGGAGGTTTTTTAGAGTAAGTGTGGCCGTCTCAGCTGCCAAGAAACTGGCAGTAGTAGGGGAGAAAGTCATGCTTCGCAACTCTTCCGACTGGCTCATCTCTATTTCTCTTTTCTTCACAGAACATCTGGAAAAGATGTTCGGCGCTTTTCTGCTGCAGGAAGAGCGACGTAGAGGACCTTCCTGTGCCTCCTGACAGGTACCACCCCCTTCTCCTCAAACCCTGGGCATGGTGGGGCACCACTGATGGACTGCAGGGTCTCTAACAGCCTCTCCCCAAGATGGCTTTCTCTCGGCAAGCGGCTTGCAGAGGCCAAAAGATGGGAAGGCTGACTGGCTGGCTGGTCTTAGAAAGGAGAGGCAGAGCTAGATGGATATTTTTTGACATGTCATCTTTTTCTTTCGGTCAGAACTGACGAGGCACATGAACAGGCGGACCAGAAGGGAGAATGGTGGACACAGATTCGTGTGTCCGATGGACGCAGGCCTTCCTCCCAAGGGGTAAGGATGCTTCTGCGACATGGCCAGTCAGGGCTCATCCCTCATAACCGGATGGGGAAAGGGAGGAATTCTCACTTGGGGGAACCTGGCCAGCCTAGCAAAAGCAAGAGGAGCCTTTTGGATTCATGGAAAGTTCTTGATGGCTTCCTATCAGCCAAATCTTCCATGATCTGCTTTGTCTTTCCCTGTTGAATGCAGTCTTTCCCTCCTGGGGAAGATAAACGTTCCACAACATGCAGGGGACTTTTAATTTATACTTTCAATTGTTACTTGCAGGGTTTGATGGGTGTTCGTGCCACCGCCCGGAGCCCCAGGAAGGAAGAGGTGATGCCAGTTCTCATTTCAGTGAGGTAGGTGTTCGCAGATTAAGTATTCTGAACCCCCCTAAAAGGCAGCCGCAGTAAAGCCCTAAAGAGAAGGGCTAGAAGAAACCTTTGCAGAGGCAGGGGGGGCATCGCATGGCTAGTTTTGATCTTTGGCCCTTCATTCTCTCCCTAGAAATGAGAAGATAGCGAAGTGGAGGCCGCGGCTCTCAACCATCTGGGAGACCTGCACTGAGTCGGTAAGCCCAGACCAGCTCCTCACCATGGCAATGGCAGAAGCCCTTTCGCTGTGGATTTGTTGATATGCCAACATTTGTAATATTTGCATTGTTATTTCAGGATCCTTCGGAAGAATACCGACCAAGAGAGGTGCAGGAGGAAAGCAGTGCCTGCCTATCAAGGTAGGTAACACCTCAGAGGGTGAAGCTTTTGCAGAGAGGAGGCATCTCTGACCTCTGCCTCTGCTTCTGCTAAAGGAAGAATCAAAGGCCAATCTCCTTGGCAGGCCAGCTGGAAGGGTTCTTAGAGCCTCCACGTCACCACTTTTTTAAAAAGGGCCCATGGCTGTTTTTGATGTTTGGCTCCTTCGTTTCTCTCCCCAGAGAGGAAAAGGAAGAGCACTGGAGGCCGCGACTCCCCCCCAGATCAGAGACCTGCAGAGAATCGGTAAGGCGTGAACAACTTCTACCCCACTAAACGAAGAACCATTGTCTCTGTGGAGATGCCAACAGACAGAATCTTTGCCTTTTTATTTCAGGACGAAGAAGACCAGCCGGCGGAGGAGCAGCTCTCTCCTACTGGGGAGAAGACGCATACTTCGGAGGTAAGAAAGTCTTGGCAATGGGGCCGATGGAGGCTCTCTTGCTGTTGGCGCACAGGGCCTGAATGCACCCTATCCTTTAGCAATCTTATTGGGATGCAGAAAGCTTAGGATTTATCCTCGATACTGTCATTTGCAGGATTCGATGGAAGTCCTGGTGGGCTCCCGGAACAACAGCCTGGAGGATTTTGACTCCATTTCTGCCCTCTTGGATGAGGAGTCTGAGGGAAGCTGGGAGCAGGCTGCAGAGGCTTCGGAGGCCAGCCTTTCGTCCAGTCCGTGGGTAAGACAGACAAAGTGTTTTCTCTTGGGGAGGGATAGAGTCCCTCTATTCAGTTCTCCTAATCTGAGTGAACTGTGCTGGAGAGCTCTGGGCAGTGGATAAAGGTGACACCTGGCCCTTGGGACAAGGTACTTAGGCTAACTAGAAGCACCCAAGCTGTGTTGCGATTGATTTACTGCAAACCAGAAGGGAAGGGCCAATTCAGTGGACTGGGGTCCTAAATAGATATGGCCCACCCTGTTTATCCCTTTCATTTTTCTGCATCATCCTCTCCAGCAACCAGCTGTTTCCAGGCAGGGCTTTAACGGGCAGAGTGGGTGGGAGTGGGGATTGCAACAGAAGCATTGTTTCTGATGGGAATCCCAAATCAATCGGGCCCCTTTTAGAAATTCTGAGTCTACTTTCATTGATGGATAAAAAGTCATCATTGTCATTCACAGGATTCTCCCGAAGAAGGGGAAGCCTCGCTGGACAATGTCAGCAGCCTGGAGGAGGACTCCCTGGACCTCAGTCTCTAATTAAAAGAGGTACCTATTTTAGCCTCTTTGTGGATCAATGCCTTGCTCAAGGAAACAATGAGCTCTGACGGGCAGGGTCACCCAAGTCAGACAGGTCATAGTGCAGAGTGCTGACATAACGTGGTGCACTGGAAAAGGAAATGGCAACCCTCTCCTTACTTTTGATACCCCACAAAAAGTATCAAAAGTAACTCCAGAAAGAACAAAGTTTGTATACTTTTATAGAAAGAGTGTGGTACTAAGAATAGCCTTTGATTCCTCCCCCAGACGCTTCCCCAGATGCCTCTCCAGAAGGCAGATCGGAGGAGGATGAACCAGTCCCAGGCACATCAGGAGGTGAGTTGGCCAATGCCTCCGAACAGCCAGCGGAGAGTGATTTGGCTGAAGCACAGCTGCAGCAGGAGAGCCCTGAAACTTCCGGGCAGCTGCAGATGGTTAGCTTTGAGCAGGAACTGCTTTCTGCATTATCCGAGAACAACTAGGGAAGAGAAAAGGCAGGAGCAGCAAAGGGCGGTTCTTTCACTCACGAGGAGGTAGTCTTGCCTTTCTTGATGGGCTGCACCAGAAGCTGGCAATTGAGCACAGCAGACAAATGGAGGCCATGCTGGGAACAATGCATTCATGACTAGGGGGTTGGAGTAGAAGACCTCCAAGGTCCCTTCCAACTCTTGGTATTCTATCTGCATATAGACGGATGGCGGAATCAGCCCCAGCGGCGAAGCCCTGCGAGGAGCCACTTTCCAACGAGGAAGTTCCTGCGTCTTGTTAATGTTATTGTTGTAATTCTTTTTGTTGTACCTGTTGTTGTTGTGCATCTTCTTGTTTTTGTTCTTGTTGTTTGAGAATAAAACTAAAAAATTCTTTATATCTGCTAATTTAGTTTAAACCTAGTTTCATTACACTTTTGTTAGGAATAACAAACTTTTCATTAAATGCAGAATTTCAGCAAACTTCTTTGTCTGTTTTCTCGTATTTTTTCCACCGTTCTATGGGATACAGTGATTAGTATTCACTTACAATATTAATGGAAACCTGACACTTCCAGAGGTTCCTCAGCTACGCGCAAGTAGTCCTCAACTTACCACAATTGATCCACAAATTTATCTTTTAAATACAACATTTGTTTAGTGACTTTTGCCCCATTTTACGACCTTTCTTCCCACAGTTGTTAAGCAGATCACTGCAGTTGTTAAGATAGTAATACAGTTGTTAAGAGAATATGGCTTCCCCATTGTTTTTGCTTGCCAGAAGGACTCAAAAGTTGATCACATGACCCCGGGACACTGCTACAGTCATAAACATGAGTCAGTTGCCAAGCATCTGAATATCGATCATGTGACTAAGGGGCTACTGCAACGGACGTAAGTGTGAAAAAAGATCATAAGTCCCTTTTTTCAGTGCCGTTGTAACTTTGAACAGTCACTAAGTGAACTGTCGTAAGTGGAGGATTACCTGTACTTTCTGAACATCAACCAGTGTATTGTCTAGTAAGAAGGAGAATTTTGTTCAGCAACATCAGGAAGATCTGTCCTTGGAACATCATGATTGGAGGCACAGAAAGCACTGTAGATCTGCTATGGGGGCAGAAAGTTTGCATTCTTCCAGAAGAAGGAATATTACAGAAGAATACCCAAGTTACACTGGCTAAGAGGCAATAATTTCTTGCAACTCATGCTAGATTGTTGCACACACTAGCAAAATACCGTATATAAGATACACAAATGGGACAGCTAAAATGGCAAGGAAAGTGTATGTCCTATCCAGACGTGAACAATTTCCATGCCAGTGATTTCCATTAAACTGTAAATAAAAATGATCATGTGAATGGCAACATAGCATACCTTGCTTTGTTATTCTCCTCTCAGTAACCTTGTTAATTGGTACTACATTTTCCATTGAAAAAGATGTGTTGCTTCACGTTTAGTAAGAATAAGAATATACGGTATTTAGGGCTTGGATTCAAAGGCTTGATGTTTGCCCTCTCCCCCATCTGCACTCATGCAATTGCATTGTGGGCAATCAGCAACCAGATCACATTCAGAGCTTTTTGCAGCATCCCACAATCACGTGACTACAGCTTACAATGTTTTGCTGGCGTTGACTACCAATATCTGGTAAAAAATGCCCATTCTGAAAAATAGGTACACTTAACGACTGCAGCTTTCATTTAATGACCGCTGCAAACACCGTTGTAGAATAGGTTTGGTCACATGATGTCTTACTTAATCACCAGTAAGACTTACCGTCTTAAGTCCAGACTGGTATTAGGTGCCAAATGCTATTACTCTTTTTTTAAAGATATGAAAGATTATCAGTATTATCCTCTGTGCATCTCCATCTACAAAACCGCATTTGCATACAGCTCTGCAATTCAACCCCTCTAACCGATTTTCTCTGGAGAGGTGAGCGCAACTCCCAGACTGGCCATTTCTCTCCATGTAAATGGTGGCCTGACAGCGACTGCAATCTGACCGCTTACAGAGAGACACCAATTTCATCTGGCACAGGCAAACACATGTCAACTTCCCAACCAAAAGTACAAGTAGTGCTCGACTTACAACCACAATGGAGCCTAAAATTTCTGTTGTCAAGAGAGACATTTGTTAATGGAATTTTGCCCCATTTTATGACCTTTCTTGCCACAGCTATTAAGTGAATCACTCCAGTTCATAAGCGAGTAACCTGGTTGTTAAGTGAATCTGGCTTCCCCATTGACTTTGCTTGTCAGAAGGTCACAAAAGTAGGTGACATGACCTTGGGACACAGCAACGGTCATAAGTATGAACCAGTTGCCAAGCATCTGAATTTTGATCACAGAATCATGGGGATGCTGCAAAGGGGGTAACTGTGAAAAACGAACATATGTCACTTTTTTCAGTGACGTTGTAACTTCGAATGGTCACTAAATGAACAGTGGTAAGTTGATGACTTCCTGTAATTTGGAGGGCTATTTCTTCTATAGACAAGGAGCACTGATGATGTCTTGCAATATACATCTTAAAATAAATAACCAACCTGGAAACATTTTTGTAATACGAGTTTACTTACAGAAGAAAGATTCTATATTTA